CCGCAGTTGCTAGCGGATCGGAGCTGCGTGCGGGAAAACTCAGGAAACTGCGCCGACCTCGCTGGGCGTTGATTCTATTTGCAGTTTCTCTGTTTCGCCTCTGCGGATGTGAAAGGCAGGTTGTAGGGGACACCCCGGGGATCCTCAGGTATTCCCTCGTTAAGATCCATGTCAGAATTCAACCCGAATATTACCAATGTACTGGCCTTGTGCAATAACCAGCTCTCCCAGCTCGACTTGGGGTCCTCCATGGGGAGAACCTGGAGCATCTGTGGTCTCTGAGTCCTCCTTGGGCATCCCTGAGGGATGCGGTGGGCCAAGGGTGTGAAGTCCCTGGAGACCCGTGTGTGTGTGTGTGTGTGTGTGTGTGTGTGTGAGTGTGTGTGGCTTTAGTGTGACCCCAGCTCTGCAGCCTTGAAGGGGTGCATTCAGGTGATGGGACCTGACTTAATGCAGGTGCAGCTGCCTTCTGGAGGCTGTGCCAGCCCTTGCATGCTAGGTCTCCGCTGGGGAGCTGTGCTCTTGTGTTTCACTGTGGTGGTGTTGGCGGGGGTTGGTGTTGGTGGGAGACCGTTGGCTCTGAGATTCCAAACTGTGTTGGAATGGAGGCAACTCTAGTATCTTGAAGTTGGGGAGACCAGGTCCATATCTGCTTGGGCAGAAAAATGGGGTGAAGAGGCTGGACTATCTTGGAGCTGGCCAGGAAAGGCGGGTTAGGGCCATAGACTATTCTGAGGTGAAAAGCACCCCTACTGGTAAGATGACACCTGCTTCTTGAGCTCTGTGGCCTCACTGCCCCTTTGCTCTTTAATCCCATTGCTGGATCCAGAATCTGGAAAAAACCTGAGTGCCCAAGAACAGATGACTGGTTAAAGAAACTTTGGTACATCTACACAATGGAGTACTATGTAGCTGTTAGAAAAGATGAAGTCATGAAATTTACATACAAGTGGTACTACATGGAAAGCATCATGCTAAGCGAAATGAGTCAGAAAGAGAGGGATAGACATAGAAAGATTGCATTCATCTGGGCGACACAAAGTAACAAAATAGGAGACTAACACCCAAGAACAGCCAAGATAAGTACCAGGAGGTTTATTCCATGGTTTGGAGGCCAGTCACACATGCTAGGGGAAAAGGCAGCTCAGATAGACAAGGGAGCACCAAATAAAGGGTATTGGGAAGATCCTCCCAGAATGGCAGAGCATGCTGAAAGTAGATTATAGACGGAACATGATTGCCACTCAATGCCTCTTTTGCAAACCACAGAATCCAGAAGGACAGAGAGAGAACAAAAGGGAATGCCCTGCCACAGAGGCAGGGTGGGATGGGGACGATGGGGGGTGGGAGGGATACTGGGATCCGTGGTGGTGGAAAATGGGCACTGGTGGAGGTATGGGTACTTAATCATTGTCTAATTAAAACTCAAGCACAAAAATTTGTAAGTCTACAACTATACCTCTTGGTTTGTCACTAATAAAATTTTTTTAAAAAATGTCATCCATGAAAAAAAAATCCCATTGCTGGATCTTGGTGGCCTTTACGGGACTGTGTGGCTTCCAGACTCTCCTTCCTTACCTGGTTTTTCTCAATTATCCCTTCAAGGGTCCTTGCCCAGGACTCCTCACTTCTCAGCACAGTCCACAAAAATGATCAAATCTTTCTGTGAATTTGGGACTCAGGGATTTGAATTACTGCCACCCTGCCCTGAAATTTGCACCGGAAATTTTCAGTCCCTGTGTGCAAAGTCTTGTCTATGTAGGGATGAGGAATCCTGTCTATGATGGGGGTGCAGAATACTTCATGATGGGGTGCAGAGTCCTGTCTATGATGGGGGTGCAGTGTTCTGTCTATGATGGGGGGGCAGTGTCCTGCCTATGACCAGGGTGCAGAGTCCTGTCTATGATGGAGATGCAGTGTCCTTCCTCTGGTGAGGATGCAGTGTCTGTCTATGATAAGGTGCAATATCCTGCCTATGACAGGATTGTAATGTCCTGCCTATGGTGGAAGTACAGAGTCCTCTATGATTGGGGTATAGTGTCCTGCCTATGATGGGGTTGCAGTATCCTGCCTATGGTGGGGGTGCAGTTCCTTCCTATGGGGGGATGAAGTGTCTGTCTATGATGGGGGTGCAGTGACTTACCAATGGTGGTGGTGCAGAGTCCTGTCTATGATAAAGGTGCAGTGTCTTGCCTATGACAGGGGTGCAGAGTCCTGCCAATGGTGGGGGTGCAGAGTCCTGTCTATGATGGGGGTGCAGTGTCTTGCCTATGATAGTGGTGCAGAGTTCTCTATGATGGGGATGCAGTGTCCTACCTATGATGGGGCATTTTGGTTGTCCTCTCCTGCAACTCCTACCTCTACAACTCTAGTTGACAAGTTTTGCTCCTTTTCTGGTCCCCTTTATGGTCTCCCCATCTTACTGTTACCCCAGGCCCAGCATTTTTCTCCTCTGCCTTTATCCCAGAAACTTGCAGAGAAAGGCTGATTTGGGTCCAGGCACCCAGGCAGTGTAGTTAGCAGTGTCTGTGAAGGTGCCCAGATTCACCCAGGACCTTTCCTTCTGTTAGCTTTTCATGAATTCTCTAGAAGATCCTTGATCCCCCTCATCTCTCTCTTGTTTCCCTCCAAGTCTGTAACCTGCCTCTAAGTTGTCTTCCTGGGAAGGATTGGTTTCACTGGCCAACTTTCTGCAGCTCACCCAGCAGTCTTGGTCTGGTTCACCTCTCCAGCCTCTTTATCACTCTCTTCTTCCACTCTGGACTCCAGTTATTCTGAACCGCTTGGTCTCTGAGGAGGCTCTGCCCTTTCTTGCCTTGCTTGTGCTGTGCCCTCTATCTTGAATTCTTTTCTATGCCTAAACCATTTGGATGATTGACTACAATTTCTAAACTGTGGGTTAGTGTCACCACTTCTGTCTTCTCCTTATTCCATAATTGAACTTCCAGCTTTTAGGCACTCCACTTATGCTGATATGGATAAAGACAATGTAATCTCTAGGTTTAGCCATATTCCTGGTGTTCAATGTTTCTTGTTTGGATGGGACATAACTGGGTAACTCATCTTCGTAGCCCTTGTCTCTAACATAGGACTGGGTACATGTTGAATGAATGAATGAATGAATGAAAGTAACCGTGAGGATTTTCTGGATCCCACTGCCCCATTCACAAACTCTGTTTTGATAGCCTATCCTTGACTAGTCCGGGCCCACTACTCTTTGTCCCCACCCCTTTCTCAGCTCTGGTTTATTGTTAGCCAGAAATTTGGTTCTCTGTCCCCTTTGCCGCTCTCAAGCACAGTGTATCTGCCACAGTTGCATGCAGTGGTGACTGTTTTTGGACTCAAATACTGGAAATTTACACTGATCCTGGTAGATTTAATTTTTTCATGTTCAATTCCACATGGCCCTTTTGGGCAAAATACTGTGGTGCCAGAAAATTCCACCTGCTTCCGACATCTGGTTGCCAAAATAGTCAGATTGTAAAGTGTCAAATTCATGACTCCATTGTTTAAAGTGCATTTCTCAACTGGGTCCATATAGTCCCTCGAGGAACCTGAGGGTACCCCAATGGGGATTCAGGTGAAAATTTTATATATGTGGGGTGGGGGGATATAAAATAAGTCTAGTGGTCTAATCAGGAGGACAATAGGAATTCAACAAGTTCAAAATGGGACCACAGTTGAAAAAAGGTTGAGGAACACTGATCTCAATGACTAAATTATAAACCAGATCAAATACATGGTGCGACCTTTATGATAGCTGAAAGATTTTACAAATTTCTGATTAACTTGGCTGTACTATATAAAAAGCTTTATTATGGAGAACAAATCTATTCACTTGATTATGGAGAACAACTGTATTCACAAATAGACATGGCATATAAAGGATTTAAAGAGTATCTCAATAGACTTTTATCTCTGATCAGTGTTTATCTAAACAGGGTCCAGTAACCACATGTCAGAATCTTATGGACCTTTTGTTAAAATACTGACTCCATCTCAAACTCATTTAAATATATCTCCTTATGAGGGTCTCTGGAATCTGTACTTTCACTATACTCTTAGACTGATTATATTGTTTTTTGAAGGTTGTAAATTGCTTGTGGGATTAATGAGTGTTAGAAACTCATGAGAATGTGTGTTTAATGATGCCTTAACTCTCTATGTCAAAATATGTATCACTAGCATTACTACCCAGAGGTTCTAGAATTCTTATTCAGTCTTGGTTGGTGTCCCTTGTACTGGGGAGCCACCAAGGGGAAGAAGCTGTCTATTCCAGGTCATGGAGGTATGGACCACGCTGTTGTGTCTGATAATGGTATGCTGCTTCATGTGACTTGAACATAGACCTGGTGAAGACAGTGGATGTCCCATGACTCTGTATGTGTATGATGGGTAGGAAGAGATAAATTGAGGTATGTAAAACCTAGTATTCGTATGTAGGACAGTCTTCATTTCTACTGCTTGTCACCCGAGAAACAATGCTGGCAGGGTAGATGAGGACTGAGACCAGGAGCATGTATTGTATAAGTCCCAAGATCTTGGGTCTGTCCTAAGGGACATGAATTGCCATGGAAGCATCTGAAGTGTCACTGTACTTGGTGACAGTTGTTGGTATATTTTAATAAAAGATAATAAGGTGAGTTCCACCCCCATTCACTAAAGAATTCTGCCCTTGGACCATCAGTACACCAATTCAACTTTATGATTTTAAAAACAGCCTTGAAACCTGAATCAGAGAGAATTTCTTGAGCAAAATCTGGCATAAGGTGCACTTGGATTTGTATCTGGGACTCATTAAATAACTGTGTGACTATGGGCAAGTTACTTTCCATCTCTGAGTCACAAGCCCTCCTGGACTGAGATAGGAAACAGTGTGAATGTTTCTTTCTGGCTTCCCTCCCCCAGATTCCACATAGGAGGTCAATGTCTAAGTATCATTTGTTTCTTTGCTTTTCAGGTTCCTTCACAGAACATCCTGAAATCTTCTCATATCCATCATGAACATCTCTCACATGCCAGCCCTGGTGTTGCCAGGAACCCTGCAAGTTCAAAACAGAAGCACCATGAAGGGCATCCCATATGACTTATATGACCACTGCCAGGATTCTGTGGGTTTCACGTTCTTCATTGTCACCTTTTACAGCATTGAGACCATTGTGGGGGTCCTGGGTAACCTCTGCCTGATATGTGTGCCCATTAGGCAGAAGGAAAAGTCCAATGTAACCAACCTGCTCATCGCCAACTTGGCCTTCTCAGACTTTCTCATGTGTCTCATATGTCAACCCCTCACTGTCGTCTACACCATCATGGACTACTGGATCTTTGGTGAGGCACTTTGCAAGATGTCAGCCTTCATCCAGTGTTTGTCAGTGACAGTGTCTATACTCTCTCTTGTCCTTGTGGCTTTGGAGAGGCATCAGCTCATCATTAACCCAACAGGTTGGAAGCCCAATATCTCTCAGGCTTATCTGGGCATTGTGGTCATCTGGCTCATTGCCTTCTTCCTGTCCTTGCCCTTTCTTGCCAATAGTGTCTTAAAGGATGTTCTTCGCATGAACCACTCCAAGGCTCTGGAGTTTCTGAAAGATAAGATGGTCTGTACTGAGTCTTGGTCAGTGGACTACCACCGCATCATCTACACCACCTTTCTGCTTATCTTTCAGTATTGTGCTCCCCTGACTTTCATCCTGGCCTGCTATGTCCGCATCTACCTGCGTCTGCGGAAGCAGAGGCAAGTGTTCAACAAGGGCACCTATAACTCACGCTCTTGGCAGATGAAACGAATCAACAGGATCCTTATGGTAATGGTGGCTGCTTTTGCTGTGCTCTGGCTTCCCCTGCATGTGTTCAACAGCCTAGAGGACTGGTATCCTGAAGCCATTCCGATCTGCCATAGCAACCTCATCTTCCTGGTGTGCCATCTGGTTGCCATGGCCTCTACCTGTGTCAACCCTTTCATCTATGGCTTTCTCAACACCAACTTCAAGAAGGAGCTCAAAGCTCTCGTGCTGACTTGCCAGAAGAGCACCCCTGTGGAGCAGTCTGAGCAACTTCCCCTGTCCACAGTGCACACAGAGGTCTCCAAAGGGTCCCTGAGGTTCAGTGGCAAGTCCAATCCCATTTAATTAAAATGAAGTCTTCTTGCTGCCACGCTCATTGGTAAGGGTCCCTCGCTTAGTTAAGAGGACACAATGCTGGCTGGGGGGTGGCTCTTCAATTGTATTGGTTTGCCAGGGCCCACACAGGCTATCAAGAGCTCATTTCTGCATCCATTGCATTGTCAAGCATGGCATTCTATTGGCTCAGCTGTTTGTTCCTAGGAGAATTCTGAGTCTGGATTCTGTAGGTCACTGTATGCTCTGCAACTTAAGCAGATGCCCAGACTTGGAGATGGCCTATTGATAGACAGAGTTCATTCTGATAACTCAGAAACAGACGTGCAGTGTTGCAAACCAGAGGTTTTTTATTTATTTTTTTTAATCTCCACTGATGAGATTGTGAGATCTCTTTGAGGTGAACAGCAGAAGAATGTGGAATCAGATATCTGAATCTTGGTCAAACTGTAACATCAGTGAGAGGTGATGCTTGTGGACAGTCTTTGTAAGTCATAACGGATCACCAAAACTGATACTATGGCGACAAGACAATGGGAATTGCTGTTGCATCACTAGTTGCAGAGGATGGTTCCTAGTAGTCTTGGATCCTCACATTCCTTCATGGAAGGAAAAAAGTCCCAGAGCAGCAGGAATTCCAGGCTTTGCATCTTAACCTATTTTTTTCCTCACTTTCACTCTATCTTCCACCTAATATGGAAATAGACTGCAAGTTGCTCTTCTTGATCAGACTGTGAGCACTTTGAAAGCAGTATCTGCAATTTTCACAGCATCTGTGTCCTTCATGCCTAGAACAGGCCCTGGCAAAGGAACAGTGCTACCAGGTTTTATGGCAAACTGGTTTGAAAGGTGCCCCTGTTGATTGCTTTGTTGCAGCAGCCCCCCCCCCCCCCCCGCACACCCTATGGTTGAATGTGGGAGGGGTGTGGGCTACTCAACAAGCCAAACTCTTTTGCTTGCCCTTGGTGCCTCTTGATGACAATTGGCCAGGGGCTCTGTTGAGTGCCCCACTGCTGACATTGCAGAAGCCATGACTCCAGTCCTTCAGTACCACTCAGGTCACTCTCTGACCACTGAATAGACTTGCCTTGGGAAATAAGCCAGGCTTTTCCCAAAGCCTCTCCAGGACTTCGTGTCTCCCAGATATCTTCAGCAGTGGCAGGACTGCAGAATTCTTGAAATCTGGCTCATGGAACATTGGCTGAAAGAAGAGATCCCTTCTGCCACCTAGTCAGGGAAAAGGGAGAAAGGGCTACAGTGAATGAGAACATTCTATTCAGGAAGGTCACTCACATGTCTTCTGGATGCTGAGCCAGATTCAAGGTTTAATCTCTGTGCTTACTGGGAAGGAAAGTCAGGATCACTCCTGGGTCACCCTCAGTGACTCACTCTGCCTGCTTACACCTCCCCTTCAGTGGAGTGGACAGTGACTGGACCTACCGTGGTCTCTCCAGGGCTGGGTATTCAGGTGCCCAATGCTGGCTATACTTAGGGGATCTGGCAAAGCGTCAGGCAGCAGGAGATTGAACTTCTTCTCTAACCATCCCTCTGGCCTGGCCCCCGAATTGAAACGTGTGCAGCACACACCCAGAGTAAGACTCTTTGAGCCATAGGCTTCCTCTGGAAACGGTTTGTTCTGCCCAGCTTTTAGTCACATCTTCCATTCTGTCTCTTTGTTTCACCTTTATCTTGCCATTGGGAACAGATTGTTGAGACACTCTATTGGATGCAGCTTGTTTTTGTCTTTTGGTGCCATCTGCTGCTGGTTGCTCTAGGTAAGCCACCTGTCATCGGAGCTCAGACCTTGAGATCCACGCCAGCTAGAAACTTTCTAAGGACTTGGGTCCAGCAACTCTTACAGATTCTAAGAAATTGTCTGGAATTTGCATCTCATCACTCATCTTCATGGTGCCATGATGTCTGAAGACATGAATGCTTTAGGCTGCTTCATGCTTGAAGATTTTAAGAGCCAGGCTTGGCATCTAGTGAAGATGCTTGACGATAGGAATCGGGATGATTGATGGAAGCGTCACTCAGTGTCTTCTCTGCTCTCCCCTCCTTGGCACAGTGTGTCTGTCTCCTGTTCCTAGTTCCAAATGATCCTTGAAAACCCCTTGGTTACCCAGCACCCTAGGAACTGGCCACTTAAAAGGTACTCAGATCAGCAACCTCAGCATTATCTGGAGTTGGTTAGATATGAAGAATCTTTCTTTACACCTCAGAACCTTTGGATTTGGGATTCGCATTTGATCTACCTTGATGTGAAAGATGTACACAGTCAAGTCTGACAAGATTTGCTCTAGGAAAGATTGTCCTGGATCCCATGTTCAGAGCAGAGCATTAGGAAGCCTCGCTCTGGTTTGAGGTGGTGTTATTGAAAAGGCCAGAGCCAATTTTGGTGGTTTGTCTCATCTCTGGCCATATGTGGACATATTTTTTGCCTTATTCTTCTTTCATAAATATTTGCCAAAGGAACAGTTTGCATAACTACATTCTTGGTGAACATGCCCCTTTGTATTCTGCTGTATTTCATTTAAAACTGCGCCAGCAACAGTTTTCCATCCTGCTGGGTGTTATTTTTAACAACTGATTAGGAGTTTATAAAACTCTCTGATGACAGCTAATACCTCTCAACAGCATTTCTCTTCAGCTTCAGCCTTTCTCATGCCCAGGAAGTGCACCTGCTCCTGAGAATAAGGGAAAGAACCTTTTTAAGGGAAGCATCTTGGCTGAAATGGAGACTCACCCCCAAAGGCTGCCTGAAACGCTAAGTGAATCCCAAACCGTACCAAAGTTTGACCATTTGAGCTTTAATCTTGCCCTTTCTTTTGAAAAGAAATCATGTTGAATTGTTTTCTCTGGTGTAACAGTAATCATTTATTCTTGGACATATGCAAAATATACAAAAATAAAACCATATTCCACTATCAAATATTGTCTTTGTTTATATTTTTGGTTCCTTCCTTCCTTCCTTCCTTCCTTCCTTCCTTCCTTCCTTCCTTCCTTCCTTCTCTCCTTCTCTCCTTCCTACTTAACCTCCTTCCCTCCCCTTCCCTCCCTCCCTCCCTCCTTTCCTTCCTCTCTCTGTTTATCTCTCTCCCTCTCTCTGTTTATCTCTCTCCCTCTCTCTGTTTATCTCTCTCTTTCTCTCTTTCTTTCTTTCTTTCTTTCTTTCTTTCTTTCTTTCTTTCTCTCTCTTTCTTTCTTTCTCTCTTTCTTTCTCTTTCTTTCTCTTTCTTTCCATGCTTGAGGTTTATCTCAACTACACTGTCAGGAGTTGCCAGGAATCAGGCAGTGCTGGGGTTCAAACCCAGGAATTTTGCACGTATAAAGCAAAGGCTCAGTCTTTTGTTCTATCTCTCTGACCCTGGGGGAGTAATTTCTTTATCTTTTATATTCATAGTTTTATTTTTAGTTTTTTGAAAACAGGTTGAAATCATATGGGGAGTAAATGTGTGTTTATGCAACATTTAAGAATCACCTTATACCCTTTTTTACTTTTTGCTTAGCTATGTAAGGATTTCTATCATTCATTCAGCAAATATGTCAAACACATGAACAGTATTGGAATATAGTGAAAAGAAAATACTCTCCATTTCAGTTCTTCTGGAGTTTCATGATTAATTCTTGCTTGCTCCGTTTATCATCATCTATTGTGGCATGTTAAGATGTTTTTGGACCTGTTACATAAAGTTCTGTGATGAATCTCTATGTGGAGAATTTTTTCTGTATTTGGAATTATTTCTTAAGAAGATATTTCCAGAAGTGGAATTAATGGGTCAAAGTGCATGGACATTTTTTAAAGGCTCTTATGCACTGCATGCTAAAATGATTTCCAAAGAGGCTGGAATGACCAGTGTTCTGGGACCCACGCCTATTTCACTGTGCCCTAGTCACTAGTGGTAGTACTTTCCTTGCTCACTAAGTGCCACATCTTGATATGACATCATCCCAGCATCAAAAGTTCCTGGCTCTCCTTTGTATAAAACTTTTCTTAAGACCTAGAAAGGTCTTAAGACCTGTGATCCCCTCCTCCAGTACTCTCACACTCACCTGTCCATTCAAATAGTTTTTTGTCAAAATCTCTTATGACCACCAGACTGCCAGTCCACAGACAGTTCTCAATCTCATCTAACGAGAATAATCAGGGATATCTGGCAGTTGATCAACACCTTCTCTTCTGACTCATTCCTCTTGTGACTTTTTCAGAACAGCAGACCTGGAGGCAGTGGCTTTCTCTGTTCGCAGACTGATCCTTTGATGCCTGAGTCTCTGTTCAAAACTTTCCATTGATCTTCTGTCACTCCTAGAGCAGAGTTCACATTCCATAGCCTGTCTGAACTGACCATCTTTTTGTTGCAGGCAGGTAGATTGTCAAGACCTGGTAATGTATGTTAGGGAAAACAGTATCTGAAAACCTGAACCAGCCTGGAGGCATGGAGGCCTCTGACATAAAGGATCCATCTCAAGAACCTGGAAAGGGGCTGGAGCAATAGCACAATAGGTAGGGCGTTTGCCTGCCACGCAGCCGGCCTGGGTTCGATTCCCAGCATCCCATATAGTCCCCTGAACACTGCCAGGAGTAATTCCTGAATGCAGAGCCAGGAGTAACCCCTGAGCATTGCCGGGTGTGACCCAAAAAGCAAAAAAAAAAAAAAAAAAAGAACCTGGAAAGCCACTGAGATGCAGAAGACAAAGGAAGTGACTGTGTTGCTGCTGGGTGCATGTGTTGCCCAGACCCAAGTGTTGCATGTGTCCATGTTGCTTGCAACATGGTGTCCAATTACATGCTGCCCACATTTTCCCTCTTGACATGCGTACTTTAGTACTTTAGTACTAGTTTGGGTACTGGCTTTCTCCACTCAGGAGAAGCCCGTAATTTGCAATCTTTCTTCTCTCTCTCTCTCTCTCTCTCTCTCTCTCTCTCTCTCCTTCAAAATTTCCAAATAAAAACTATATTCACTTCACTGTTTCATCTCCTCCTGAAATTCTTTTTTTGTGATGGCAAGGCA